AGATCTCCAGGCCTTTCTTCCGAAGCACCACTGGGCGAGTTCAAACCATCAGCCTTTTGGTTAGTAGTCAAGCTCTTCACTGTTCGTACCACCGAAGGATTCCTGAGGATAACAATAACCCCTTCTTTATAGGGCACTTGTGAAGATTAAATTACCTGCTATTTTAAAGTGCTTAGAATACATGCCAGACACTCAGTAAATACGAACTTCAGCGGCCACTGTTCCACTTTCCCCCAGCACGTCATACTTACGCCATTCAGTGAGCACCTGGCACATCCCGCGTGGAGGTCGTCACTGAGCCAGTGTTTGAGTGCTGGGATATATGGGGGGCTGTGGAGAACCTGAGTCCTTATTCATGCAGGCAGGAGAGCCAGAAGCAACCAGGTGACCACACAAGTGAAGGTGAGCCCGCCATGGGGACGCTTGTTTGGAGAGAGGTCTGCAGTTGTGGGAGCCAGCAAGCGGGGAGCTGACCGCGTCAGGAAGTCAGAGAGGCTTCCTGGAGGAACGGGCGACTCAGCTGAGGTCTGAGTGCAGTGAGGAGGGAACAGCGTGTCAGGCAGAGAAGGCACACGGGCAAAGGTCCGGTGCAGCAGGGCAGGCAGCCTGGAGGAGGAGCTGGAAGGGGCTGGTGTGGCTGGAGCAGAACGGGGGGGCAATGGGGCAGGATGAAGCTGGAGTGGCAGGCCGTGTAGGCCATGCTAAGGATTCTGGCGTTTTTTCCTAAAAGCAAGGGGATGCTTTGGAAAGTCTCAAGGTAGACAGTGACATGAGCCAGTTTGCAATTTAAAAAGTTCTCTCCGGCCACCGTGTGGGGTGTGGATTGGCCGCAGTTAGTTAGGGATCTCTGGAATGGTCCCGCCGGGCTGGGCTGCTAGATGGGGAGAAGGGGGACACGCGGGCTGCCAAGGAGCAGAGTCTGCAGGCCTGGGGGCGGCTCCACGCTGAGTCAGGTGATGGGAAGAGTCAGCCTTCTGCCGCAGGTGGGGGGCTCTTGCCGAGCTGGGGAGCTGCTGGAGGGTCTGGGAAGGTACATATCAGCGGTGGTGGACAGGTGCTGAATTGGGCTTGCCTCTGACCTGCAGGTGAGGCACACAGGCTGTCAGGTTTGTTAAGTTTGCGTGGCAGCCTCCATAAAGTTCACTATTTGGGGCCACTTACTGGGGGAGAGGGACGCAAAAGCTGTTTCTGGTGAGAGAATGTCTTCCTGGCCCCAGCCCTGGGCCCACCACTCCTCAGATACCAGAGACAGGTAGGACACTGAGTCCTCAGAAAATCCACATGTCAGGGCTCCTCTGGACCCAAGTTCAAATCCTGCCTCTGTAGTTTCTATGACCTTAGCGCCTCGCCGACCTCCCCAAGCCTTGTTTCCTTATCTGCAAAGCTGGCTTTGATCCGAGGATGATGGTAGCTGTTAAACAAGACCAAAACCAAACCCATTGCCGTTGAGTCGATTCTGACTCATAGCGACCCTGTAGGACAGAGTAGAACTGCCCTATAGTGTTTCCAAGGAGCAGCTGGTGGATTTGAACTGCAGACATTTTGGTTAGCAGCTGAGCTCTTAACCACTGAGCCACCAGAGCTCCATTAAATGAGACAGTGGATCCAAATGTCACTAAATGGGTTACTGATCACTCGAGAATTCAGAAGCAGACCCCTATCCAAGTGACTACACCAAGGGGCATGCCATCTCCTGTTGCTGACCGAGGAGGACGTGTCTGTGCTGCCTGGGACCCTCGGTCAGAGTGTTCGGTTATACCTGCAGGGCAGCACGGCCCCGGTCCTGGCAGGAGTGTGCCTGCCCCATCAGGCACTGAGGGCAGGGTAGTGTGGGCTGCCTCGTGTCCTGGGCTGGGGGGCTGGCAACAGAAGGTGGCCTTGTCAGAGTGAGTGAGCTGCTGGCCCGGGCGCCCAGTCTGTGGAGCAGAGCAAGCCAGAGTCACAAAAAGCACTTCTGTGGAAGAATTCTGAAACGGACAGAAGTGATGATTCACAGCACGATGAATGTAATTAATGTCACGGGATTGTCCACGTAAAAAACGTTGACATGGCAAATGTTTGGTTATATATATTTACCACAATTAAAAATATTAATCTTGAGGAATTCTTCCCCCCAATAAAGCTTCTAGGGAGCACCTTCTGGCACCCACCGTGACTCCTTACTGAGAGATACGTAAGCCCCAGTCCTCAGCACTCAGCAAAACAAACAGACCACCAAAAGGAACATTCAGCTGGCAAGGATGCTCAGAAAACGTGTTCTGGTTAACTCGCCTGTTTCCTGCGCTGGGGGGCTTGCCTACAAGCTCCTCGCCCTTCTTGCTAAACATCTTTTCCAAAGTGTGTTGGCCCCATGCACGTTACAATCGTAGGGCATTTAGGATGTAAAAGCTCCTTTCACTGCCGTCTTCCACCTGGTATAACTCCCAGAACTGGCGGGAAACCAGTGTTGAGCTCAGATCACTGACCTTCTGAGTCTCAGAGAGGTGAAGCGGTTTATGCTGAGTGGGGGCTTGGGCCAGCCTCTGAGCCGGCACATGGCCCTGCCTCTGGGCTGCAGGTCTACTTGCTGTGAGACTCCTGGACAAGCCCTTCCTCTCTGGCCTCAGATCCTCACGCCCTTGTCCACAATGAAGGCGGTTAGGAGAGAAAACCCCAGAAGCCCCTTTGGCCTGAGGATTCTGGGCCCGCCTCTCTCCTCCACAGCCCAGAGAGGTTTCTCCCTGTTCCCCAGGGTCCCCGGGACTTTCTGGGTGTGCTCCAGGCCCTCAGGCTTTTCCTCCTTCCCATAAAGCTGACCCTCAGGGGCCGGCCGAGGCTGGGAGGGGCAGACTGGTTCTCCCCCAGGCTCTGGCATAGCCCCCGCTGGCTGTGAAGGCCCCCTGTGATGCAGCTGTGTGGGCACAGTGGTGCCCAGGCTCCTTCAGCTGCCCCGTGGCTCCATGTACCACACCTGCCTGCATGTGCCCTGAACCTGCCCGGGGCAGCGGCACTATGGGGGTGCTCTGAGACTCACCTCATTACCCCCGCCCACTGCCCCCAGCTGTGGAAGCCCCAACACAGACTTGGTTAGGAGTCACCCTGCTGCCAGTGCTCGGTGTGCCCTTGGGAGCGGCGTAGTCTGAGCCCCGAGGGGGCCGTGTAGACAGCACAGGGTGGCCGGGGCCAGGCAGACCCACGGCCACGCCACCTGTCATCACCCTGGGGAAGAGCCCTGAGCAGGCCGGGCGGGCAGAGGGCAAAAGTCGGCCGCTGCAAACCGGGACGGCCGGAGTGGGGCTGGGAAGGCGCCTCAGCAGCCAGGGAGTCTGAGCAGCCGTGGGAGCCATCTAGGGCCAGCCCACCAAATCCTGTAAGAAAAGATTTTCCCCGCCACCTCGGGAAGCTAGAGGCCAGGTGGGAGGAGAAGGTGGGCAAGGCAGGGGGCGGAGGAAGGGGCTGAGACCACCCCCCCCATGCACGTATCCTGAGCAGTTCTGGTGGCCCTGTGGGTGCAGGCTTCTTCACAGGTCACCTTCTTCAAGTGTCACAGCAGCCCCGGGAGGCAGCATTATCACTGAAAGCCAAGAAACCAAACCTGTTGCCGTCGAGTCGATTCCAACTCATAGCGACCCTGTAGGACAGAGTAGAACTGCCCCCTAGAGTTCCCAGGGAGCGGCTGGTGGATTCTAACTGCCGACGCTTTGGATAGCAGCTCTTAACCACTACGCCACCAGGGTTTCGACACTATCGTTAGAGCCCTTTAAAAAAGAGGAGACGGCTTGGGGAGGTGAAGTAACCCCTCCATGGTGGACGTGGGCAGGGCGGCCACCTTGTGAGTGGAGGAGAGTCGTCCAGTGACGTTGTCAGGCCATTTCCAGGCCACATGGTTGTCCAGAGGAGAGACCCTGGATGGGGGCAGGGGGTGGAGTGATCTGGACCCACCATGGGAGACCCCGTGGCTCTGGGCACAGGGTGTCCTGATCTGGGGCAGCGCCTCTTCCTTATGTACGCGTGGGGCTCAACGAGGCAGGTGAGGGGTGACAGCAGATAGGGCAGGGTGGTAGTGTGTGTGTGTGTGTGTGTGTGTGTGTGTGTGTGTGTGTGTGTGAGTGTAAGGCAGCTGTCCCAAGCCCTGGGCCACCCTGAACTGCAGGCCCTCGAAGTGGCAGAGCTCTGTTAAACTTGCTGTGGGGTTGCCTCTTGCTGCTGCTCCTGGCACCCCACCCACCCCGTTACGGTAGGTTCAGGAGGGTGGCCACCCAGGCCCCTGCTTGGCGAATACCCTGTAGGGGGCGTGATCTGTGACCTGAGATGCTCCGCTCCATGACTGTCCTCCCCATGGATCACCCACACGACTGACTTCTGCAACAATGAGAGCGAGCGAATTCCACCTTACACACCAGCATGGACAAGCCTCACCGACTACAGTGCTGGACGCGGGGAGCCAGATAGGAAACAGCGTTTATAATCCCATTTATATAAAGCTCTACAACAGGCCCGACTAAGCGGTGGGGTTAGCAGTCGGCACAGAGGCTGCCTTGGGTGGGTGCTTGCCGTGCTCTGCCCCCTGACCTGGAGTTGTTTTCACGGGTGGATTCACTTTGTGAAAGGCCACCGAGCCGTTTACTTATGAGGTGCATTTCTGTAATGTCTGCAGCACTGCTGGGTTCCAGCCCTGGTCTCCGCCTACCTGATAGTAAAGATGTGAGCGTATGCTCGGTGCTCACGCCCGCTCGCCAAGCATCTTACACGCGCTTCTCAAGTCATCGCCACACCTTGCCAGGGTCAATCCCGTTTTACAGACGAGTAAACGGAGGCTGAGAGCCCACAGCTGGAGGATGACGGACTGTGACTCCCGTTAGACCGTCTCTCAGTCTCCTCCTGTCCCCCCTCCATCAACTCTCCTCCCCTTGCTTCCCCTCCTCCACGCACATCTCTGTGTGCACACACACGTATAGGCACACATATGTGCGCACACGCGGGTGATGTTAACGTGCCTTGTGCTTGCTGCCCCCCCGCAGTGTCTCGCTTCTCCAGCCCGCGGGTGACCCCCCGACTGAGCCGCAAGCGGGCGCTGTCCATCTCGCCTCTCTCGGACGCCAGCCTGGACCTGCAGCGGATGATCCGGACCTCACCCAACTCGCTGGTGGCCTACATCAACAACTCCCGCGGCAGCTCCGCGGCCAGCGGCTCCTACGGACACCTGTCAGCAGGTGCCCTCAGGTGAGCCCAGCCTCCGTGGAGCGCTGAGCTGGGAGCAGGGCTTCCAACCGCTTTGTTCTGAGAATCTGCATTTCCACCCCAGATATACTGACTCAGAATCTACATGTTAACAAGCTCCCCCAGGTAATTCTTAGGTATAACTCCCTGGGAACTTGTTAGAAACGCACATTCTCGGCAGGGGTGCGAAGCCCTGGTTGGGAGCTGAGTGGGGGCCAAGTGGGCAGGTCTGTCTTTTTGGTGGATGCTTTCACCCTGAGGAGGAAGGTAGGATTTGTTGCATTTGGGAGTTAGCGTACTTCCATTGTGTTCATAAATTCAAAACCAATGATAATGAAATCCACGTAGTTTAAATACGCCCACCTTTGAGTCTGTTTTCATGTGCTCAGTACCCACCCCCCAAACCCAATTTCTGATGTGGAAGTGACCGTCATGTCGATCCGCTCGTGAAATCAAAGGGGTGTGTGACTTGGAAAGTGGCTTTTCTGGTGTCTTGATGGGAGTCGTGGGGGAGGCAGGCTATGACCAGTGTCAGGTGCTCACAGATGTGACCGGGGCTTGGCCAGGTGCTCTAAGCCAGCCTCTGAACCGGCAGTGACCTGCACTGTGGCCACTGCATGGCCCACCCGGACTCATGGACGCTGTTCGCTCTTCTCCGCCCCTGCAGCTGGTGGCTGGTCTCCGTACCTCAGACCCCAGCCAACTGGACTGAAACTCTTGTGCCTCCACCGACCCATCTTAGGGAAGCCAGGGGGCCAGGAAAATTTGGCCCAAGGACCCAGAAGCAGAAGTGATCACAAGGACATGAGTTACCTTTTGCCATATAACAAGTTACTCTAAAACTTAGCAGCTTAGTACAGCAATAATCAGATACTACCTCACGCAGCTTCTGGAGGCCAGGACCCTGGGAGTGGCGGAGCTGGGTGGTTCTGGCTCAGGGTGTCTCATGAGGCTCCAGTTAGGACGCAGCAGGGGCTGCAGGCACCAGAAGGCGTGATCAGGGCTGGAGGACCGGTTTCCAAGAAGGCTGCCTCCCGTGGCTGTTGGCAGGAGCCTCTGCTCCTCCCCGTGGCCTCTCCACGGGCTGCGTGTCTCACAGTGAGGGGGCCACTACCCCCAGAGCAGGAGCTCCCAGAGAGAGCGAGGAGGAAGCGTCAGTGTCTTTTATGACTTAGCCTTGGAGGTCACCAGTATTTTCTCAGTATCCTATTGGGAAAAGAGTCGCTTGTGTGGAAATGGTATGGTAGAGACTTGAAGTGCAATAGAAGTTCAAAGCATGTGAGCTGGAGTGCTCAGGGCGGACTTTCTGCAGGAGGTGACGTCAGAAGGGGCTTCAGAGGCCAGATGAGTTCACGTGGTCAGGGAGGAGGGATCTCAGGCTCAGGGACCCAGAGAGGGAATCAGTAACAAATACATAAAACAACAGTAATCATGGAGCAGGGGAGGTGCCAGGGTGTGGGGCTGGGAAGAAGCCTGGTACATCCAGGGGACCAATCTGCCTCAGGTGAAGAAGACTGTGGGCGGCGCCTGAGCCTAAGCAGGGAAGGTGAGTCCTGAGATGGCAGGCAGCGGGGAGCCACTGCTGGTTCTGGACGGAGGGAAAACCATGGTGCCGTGGGGCTAGCAGCACGCCAGTCCCAATCCCGCGGGCAGGGTCTTCTCTGCTCCATTACTTTGTCGTTTCTCCGTTGCAGCCCAGCCTTCACCTTCCCGCACCCCATCAACCCCGTGGCCTACCAGCAGATCCTGAGCCAGCAGAGAGGCCTGGGCTCGGCCTTCGGACACACGCCACCCCTGATCCAGCCCTCACCCACCTTCCTGGCCCAGCAGCCCACGGCCCTTAACTCTATCAGTGCCGCGCCTGCCCAGCTCAGCAGCAGCAGCAACTGTCTGGGTGACACCAACCAGGTAGGTGGGCCCAGGAAGCAGGGGGTGGGCCACAGGTACTCAGCCAGACCCCACAAGGGTTATCCATTCCCATCTCATGCCAGGAACTTGTGGAAGGACTCTGGGCCAGGGCTGCCTGGTGGGAAGCCCTGTGGGCAGAGGCCAGATTGACAGCCTCAGGCTGGATGAGGGGTCAGGGCCTGGTGCTGACACTGCCCTCACCGTGGGCAAGCTCCCCCGCCTCTCGGAGCACAGCAAATGATAGGGATGGCTGCAACGGAGGGATTCCTGGGTGGTAATTCTACGATGCGGAGCTTCATTTAGAGCACGTGTTTACCAAGAGCTTCGCACTGCATTTATTCAGCCGTTCCAAGTGGCCTCTGACCTGCCTGGCATCCTGGCACGGTGCCTGGCACACACTCGGTGACATTAGTATGTAGTGAGTGAGTGAGGTCCTCTTTTGCAGACGAGGAAATGCACATATAGCGGGAGTATCATACAGCGCAAAGGGCATGGGCTTTGGAATCAGTCAAACCAAGTTTTGAAGCCTGACTTGCCTGAAGGGGGCACGTTTCTCTACCTCATTCAGCCTGAGCTAACTTGCCTGCCAAGTGGGGGTCCGCTTCTTACACAAGCGGGGACCATGGTGCATGTAAGCAAGCTCATGTGTGCGTGGAGCCCCCAGTAGACCCCCGAGCACAATCAGCACCCCTGATGACTCTCCAGAGGTGAAGCGCCTTCCCCAGGCCACCAGTTGGCAGGTGGCTGAGCCCAGATGTGACCACATCCTGGGGAGGAAGACTCTGGAAGCAGCTCCTCTCCCAGGTCCACTAGCGCCCCTGCTACAGACAGGCCTTTGGCTTTTGAAACACCTCCTGATATTACAGTTCCAGCCCCTCCTCCCGAGGACCCAGACCCTTCTCGCCCGCCCCCTGCGCTAGCCAAGTCCTGTTAGCTTCACACCCAGAGCTGCCCCTTGCTGTCATGCTGCCAGACGCCTCCTGCTCTGGGGGGCTAAGCTGAGCCTCCTCAAGGGCACCCAGCTTCTTCCAAAGAGAGAGGCCCTTTTGCGTTTCCCTGGAGTCACGGGGAGGTGGAGGCAGGGGCTGCGTGGTGGAGAGGAAGGGCTGAGCTCTGTCCTGGCCGTGCCCCGGCTGGAGGACCGAGCTGGGGGACTCGGTTTCCGGCACTTCAGATGCAAGGGTTGGAGCAGTCTGTGTGGGGGTGTCGGCTCCCCGCTTCCGTGTGACTGGCCCCCTGCACCCTTCCCCTAGAACAAGCAGAGCAGCGAGTCGGCCGTGAGCAGCACCGTCAACCCCATCGCCATCCACAAGCGCAGTAAGGTCAAAACGGAAGCCGAGGGCCTGAGGCCCGCCTCCCCGCTGATGCTGACACAGGTACATGCAGGCCCCGCCCACTAGGGTGTGGTCGCCTCTGGGTCCGCCCAGCTGGGGCCTGACGCCTGTTGGCGAAGGATGAATGGGAGCACGTGTGAGCCAATGAGTGAGGGTGCAACAGGCGCAGCTGTGGGCTCTGGGAACCGGGGCTGTGAGGGCCTCACCCCTGCGTCCCTGAATGAGGGTGCAGCTGTGAGCTCAGGGGACAGGGGCCGTGAGGGCCTCACCCCTGCATCCCTGAATGAGTGAGGACAGAGCAGGCGCAGCTGTGAGCTCAGGGGACCGGGGCTGTGAGGGCCTTACCCCTGCACCCGCAGAACCCTGCCCATGCCACATACTCATCCAATGTGCTGAGTAACAGCGTGAGTGAATGGACTCCCTTGTCCTTCCATGGTCCTCAGGCTGCAGCCAGCCTTCTACCGGTGCCTCGCCCTCACCCCAGCACCAGCCCAGCGGAAGCGGGCTGCTCCCGCGCTGTTACGGGTCAGCCGCTCTCCCTGGAGGTCTTCCCCACCCTGCCCCTACCGCCATTCTCACCTTCCCTGCCCTCCAGGATAATAGGACTTGCATCAGCCCAGCCTCCCTCCTGGTCCTGGCTGCTTCCAGGGCTACCTCCCCGCTGCGTGGTAAGCCATTCGGTGGACGTCTCGCCTTCCATGCAGGAGACCTGGCCAATGGCCTCCATGCACAGCCACCCCGTCTGTCAGTGGAGGCCTGCATGTAGCTATGATGCTCAACAGGTTTCAATGAAGCTTCTAGACTAAGATGGACTAGGAAGAAAGGCCTGGCAGTCTTCTGAAAATTAGCTCCCGAAAACCCTATGGATCACAATGGTCCAATCCCCAGCAGCAGCAGACAACAACCGCAACTCACAGAGATGTACCCGCCTGGTGCCACGTAGCCAGGGTTTGCAGGATCCTGGCATGCACTGGCTGCAGTACGGTTTTCTAATGACAGACGCACATCTCAGTGAGTTAGCAGAGTGATGTCGAGAGGCAAGGAGACGGTTGCATAGCCAGGACAGGCCTCTGCTGGCTGGAGCCTCGTGTGGGCCCTTTGGGAGTCTTTGCACTCCTAACCCGCCAAGATGGCAGGCAGGCCATGCCAGCCTCTCGGAGCAGAGGTCTGCCGGGGGAAGTGCCCGGACGCGCTGCTGACCAGCAGGCCAGCCTCCCCACCCCCACCCCACCCCCATGACTACACAACCCCTGGCTGTGACACCAAGGGCTGCTCGGGTGTCCTATCCCTATCACCCCTGCATCTGCCGAGCATGCTTCATCCACGCTGTAAACCATCAGGCGTACTCTGGGCACTTAATTTTCATGAAATATTGGGTCTTGTTATGTCAGGCAGACAGAGGGGGCGATGACAGATTCCCCCCTCCCTGATGCCAGCGCCTGTCTCAGCGTGATGCATGGTTTCCCAGCCATCATGGGGCGGCTGGAATTGACGAGGACAGCACATTCAGGGAAGATAAACAGTGAGCACCTGGGGGCCCGTGCCCACTCGCCCCCACTCTCCAACCCAGAGAGCCACAGAAGAGCGAGTCTCCCTTCCAGCTCGGCGTGGCCACCTCGTGCGTGTCCGTCGCGGGGGAAGCTGTTTATCACACGGAGTCTGTCCCATGCCACTCCGCGTCCTGACTCGTTTGCAAGGCGGAGGCACCTGCTCTCCGCCGACAGAAAATGCAGCGTGATGAGCGCGCTTTCTGCTGGAGCCGCAAAGTCTCGGGCCAGGGACGCCCGGCACGGTCTGTGCGCCCGTTGCGCCTGCGCGCGCGGCCTTTGCTCCGCGCCACTGTCAGCTGCTACGTACGGGTGGTACGCAGCCTGCGCAAACAAGGAATGCATTTTCAGTGTTTCTGAAGGTGCAGAGAAGGCGTCAGGAGGCCCCTCGTCCGCTCTCCCGCACACGCACACTGACAGCCCCGCATATGGTCCCCGGGCGACAGGTCCGGAGAAAGGCCTCCGCCCCGTCCTCCTACTTTGGTCCCCCCGGTGCACAGCCCCCACCCCGCCCCATGGTTTCTGCTCCTCCCGAGGAGTTGCTGTATATCCCATTCAGCATGTCCCTTCTTAGCACAAGGGGACTCAGGGAAAGGCCCGCTCAGAGGAACAACCAGAACCCTCTCCGGGAGGGTTTGCAGCTCCAGCAGACATCGGTCAGGGTGTGGGTCTGGTCCGGCCGCAGGGGGTCCCGGGGCTGACCCCTGAGCTCTTAGAAATGGACGTGGCCTTAGGGATGCGGCTGTAGCGTAGGTGGCTGCAGCTTCAGTGCACCCCCGGCCTCTGGGGGCTCTAACTCTGGAATAAGGGGCGAGGTTGTCCCCATTAACCTCAACTACAAATGTTTACCCCAGAGGCCCTTTTGAAAGACAGAACATTTCCTGCTTGCTTTTCGGCAATAGTTTGAAATATAAAGCCAGTTTTTCTAACATCTGCCTTTCACTTGGCTTTGTCCGAGGGTGCCTAACAGGCAGGTGGGATCCTGGGGAGTCCCTAAAGCATCTGGATGCCCTTGCTGGGCCTTTTCTCCCAGCTGGGGACACCCGTGCCTCTCCGTCCCCGGCCCTCTGGTACTCCCCAACCCGTCCCCACTTCCTCTGCTCAGAGGCTTCACCTGCTGGGTGCTGGCTCTCATCCGCTGGGGGTGGGCGTTAATTCCAAGGCTGTTGTTGGTTTGCGAGTAAAAGACTTTGTTTTCTTTGAGAAGAATTTCAGGCACCTATGGTCAGATGATGAGGCATTGGTGGTTCAGAGGTAGAATTCTCACCTTCCATGCAAAAGACCTGGGTTCGATTCCCAGCCAATGCCCCTCATGTGCAGCCACCACCCATCTGTCAGTGGAGGCTTGTGTGTTGCTATGATGCTGAAGAGGTTTCAGTGGAGCTTCCAGACTAAGACGGACTAGAAAGAAAGGCCTGGAGATCCACTTCCCAAAATCAGCCAGTGAATACCCTATGGATCACAATGGTCCGATCCTCAGCTGATCATGAGGATGATTCAGGATCGGGTGAGGGGGACGTTTCAGGGGCTTTTCCTCCACCTCCTTGAAATGGCCCTGTGTGGGCCCCAGTGTAGAAACCCTAATGGCATAGTGGTTGAGAGCTTGGCTGCTAACCAAAAGGTCGGCAGTTCGAATCCACCAGGCACTCCTTGGAAACTCTATGGGGCAGTTCTACTCTGTCCTGTAGGGTCACTATGAGTCAGAATCGACTCAACAGCAATGGCTTTGGGTTTTGTTTGGTGGGGGGCCTCCTAATGTGCTTGGGAGGCTCGAGCCCAGGTCTAGGCTGCCACGAATCAGCTGTGTGTTCTTGGCAGGAAGTAAACCTCTCCCAGAGCCTCGGTTTCCCCGGCTGTAAAACAAGCACACAGATGCCCACAGTGCGAGGGCTGTTGCAGGGGAGACTACACTGGGGTGAAGTCACTCCGCGGTCCGCAGCCCTCTCCTGGCTGTGAGTCCAGGTGCATCGTGTGCCCCGAGGAGGAAGGAGGCTGTGAGAACAAGGGCCCTGGGGGCCAGGAGAGGCATGCTGGGTTTCTTCCTGCCTCCACTGAGCAGACCCTGTACATGGGCCTGCAGGGCCCATCCCCACAGAGGACCCAAAACCAAATAGAAGCTACCGACTCTGTGCACTGCCCTCCTCACCATGTCTGCAGAGCCAGGAGTGATGGGCAGCGTGGTGACAACAAGCACCTTAGACAGGAGGGAGGGGTGTGGGACAGTGTCGACGAGACAGCCGAGGGATGGGAGCCAGACAGAGGAGAGACTGCGGAAAGGGCCAAAAGACTGATGAATGAGTGAGTGTGTGTCTACCGTCCATCCGTCCATCCACACAAACTTTCGCAGCCCAGGGTCCTTGGCACAGCCTGCCAGGGGGCTGGCATCCCCTCAGGCCCCACCCTCAGAGCCAGCTGGCTGGACGCGGCTCACAGGGGCGTCCTCTGTCCTCCCCCAGGAGCAGCTGGCTGACCTCAAGGAAGACCTGCATGGGGATGACTGTAAGCAGGAGCCCGAGGTGGTCATCCATGAGACCAACTGCCACTGGGAAGACTGCGCCAAGGAGTACGACACCCAGGAGCAGCTGGTGCACGTGAGCCTCCCGGCCCGCAGCCTACCCACCAGGGAGAGCCCCGGCCACGTGAGGGCTGGAGCCTTCACACCCTCTGCTAGAGAGGGGGCTGCAGGAGGAGGCTTAGGAGATGCCTGGGCCCCATCCCCTGCAAGTGGGAGTCATGCGTGATTATTTATGTATGCCCTGCCTGTTGCTACACGAGGCTGGTAAATACATATATGTTACAACAGAGGAAAGGAAAATAAGTGCATGAGAGAATCAGGAGGGAAGGAACAATAAAAGAAAGCCAAGAATAGAGTTAGTATTAAAAATGGAGCTTCCTAGCGGCCAGTGCAATGAGAGGGAAATGAGACTAGTTAAACCAGCCAGTATCCACAAGATAATAACAAACCTGGCTCTGGGGCCTGGAAGAAGTTTCTCCCTTGGAGGAAGAAGTTGGTAATTTCTTCTTGGAGACCAGCCACAGGTCCCGAGTATATAATGGGTGTAGGTGAGTGTGTACACACAGATCAGGGAGGGGGGCTGTTTACAATGCCCCCCAGGTACTGACAGATCAGGAGACCAGCGAAGGCCATGCGTGCTGGGTAGACCTTCAGGGTGTGCTTCATGGTCCCCACTCAGAACTTCCCTACAGGAGCATCCCAAATGGTGGCTGTCAGGGGGTAATGTGTATAGTAGAGGAGCGGGGGCTGGGCCAGGGAGAGGGCGGGCTTACCCTGTGAGCCTCGGTTCTTTCTCCTGGAAGGGGGTGAGGACTGAATCCGATGCTGCAGGTGGAACACCTAGCAGATACTGGTGCTTCCTGCTTGGTGACTCCCTCTGTCCCCCTCCTCCCTGTCCCCGCTCCAGCCCTGAGCGTCTCTCTTCTCTGTCCAGAAAAGAGCTTGCTTTCCGGGAGAGGTCTCCTCCCCACTCTTTGGTAAATGGGTGCCAGTAAGGGTGAAGCCCACACTAAGTACCTTAGGTGCCAGCCAGACTGGAGACAGACACATTTACACACACATTCTCACACTCATGCACTCACACACACTCCCGTATACTTATACACATACACTCACTCATATTCACACACTCATACACTGATACACACACACACACTCACACCCACACACTGTCTCATACACACACACTCACACCCATACACTGTCTCATACACACACACTCACACATGCATTGTCTCATACACACACATACACTCATACACACTCATACACTGTCTCATACACACACATACTCATACACAATCATAATCATACACTGTCTCACACATACACGCACGCTCATACACACACACTCAGTCTCATACACACTCATACACTGTCTCATACACACACATACACTCATCCACTGTGCACACACACACACACACTCACACACACCTGTTTGCATTATGAAACCACTGCAGAGGGGTGTGTTCTTCCCCAAGTCTGTGAACTTGAGCATTGAGGACACTGCCAGCTCCCTCTGTTCATGCAGATTTGCTCTCAGATCTGTGGGTTTCTTTTGCATTTGGACTTTTCTCCCCAAATCCCTGCCCACCCCCTGCCAGGGAACCAGAATTTCCCAGCAAACACACCGGAGCTGACATGGAGCCTGGGAACCAGGGTTTTATCTCATCCCTTCTGAGACTTGAACCTGATTCTTCCACACATACCACCTCTTTGGAATCAACAAGTCCTAGATGGAGAGGGGGCGCATTAGCTGCCAGTGGTAGGAGATGAGATGTAGATTCACAGGGGAGAGAGGGGCCGGCATCTCAGGCTGGGAGAGGCCGAAGCAAAGGCGTAGAAGTGGGAACACAAAAGACATGTCCAGAGGTGAGTGGGTCAGCCCCAGACCGGAGGGAATCCCCAGACACGGGCAGACGGGCTCAGAGGTGGGGTGGGCGGGAGCGTCACTGCAGACTCCTGCCCGTGCCCAGCTGTGCCCGTGGGCAGCGTGGTGGCCTCCGACCTGGCCTTGGGAGGAGCAGACTCCTTTGCACGAGAGGAGCAGACTCAGGCCCCTTTGCCAAGCTCTGCCCTCCTCGGCTCCCTGGGAAAATGGATGGCGGCAGGCTGGCAGTGAGCGGAGCTCCAACTGTTCGTTAACAATTCGCTGCTGTGTATACCAGTAAGGGCAAAATGAAAGGCATTATCAGGAAGCATCTTTACCATTTGAAAAGCTTTAAAAATGAGTTAGGCTAATGGGTTACGATTTCCCTGGAATTTGAAAGTGCTAGATTTCACTCACTCTGGTGTTGGCATTTCTGGGCGCGCATTTGAGTCAGCTGTCCAGGTGTGAGGGCCAGCGGATTTCTGTCTTCTGGGTGCGGTGCTGCCGGTGGCTGGGTGCCCAAGCCTGGGCAGCCTTGTGGGTTACAGAGGTCTCCAGCAGCACAGTCCCGTAGCGAGCTAATACAAGCCACACGCAAACAGCTTGCTCTCCGCTACTAATGGGAAGGTTGGCAGTTCAAACCCACCCAGTGGCACCGTGGAAGAAAGACCTGGCCATCTGTTTCCGTAAAGATTACAGCCCAGAAAACCCTATGGAGCAGTTCTGCTTTGTAACGAACACGTTAACCATTTACCTCATCCTGGGACTCCATGCCAAGCTCAGAGGCATCAATTCCCCTGCTCCAGTAAGGACTGCAGCCTTCAGTTAAATAATCCAAGCAAGTGACTAATTACCGAAGGGTCTACCCGGTGCAGCCTGCTCTCTCATGTGTAATGGAAAGATGTGGTGGCACATTTGCCCTGTGTCACAGGAGAAGCCACTTCCAGCAAGGCACACAAATAGCATGACTTTGATGAGCCCAGGGAAGAGATCCAAAGGGGTGGGCGCAGGGACAGGAAATAATAGAAAAGTTAGCCCCATCTTCCTGGCCCAGAGCAGTGTGCTAGGTAGGATGGGCCAGAGGACCATCCTTCAGGGAAGGCTTCCCAGCATGGCCTGATGGCTCTGTTAGCCCCTGAGAGGTGGACCCCCTGCAGGGCTATGAGGTAGGCTTGCTGGGAGGTCAGTTTGCCTGCCCTTGGCTGCCCACCTTATTCTCCTGGGCCACTTTGCCCCGGGGTGGCCTCCACAGTACCCAGCGCTCACCACAAGGGCCAGAACGGGCTCCATCCACACTTCCTGCCAGTGGTCCCAGGCCAGCTGTTTAGCCTCCTGGGCCTCGGACAAGGAGACAAAGCCATCACCTCATGGGCTCATGTCAGAAAGAGGCCGGGGTGCTTTTGTTTCCAGTATAATGAAAAATTGTTTTTGAAAGTGTCTGAAACAGTAGGGGCAAGCTCAGGAGAGGATTCTGGTGCACCTGGCATGGGCACATGTGCCTCGCCGCATTAGTGAGTGCCCCACAGTCTGCAGCCTCGGGCATCGTCCTGATCACCACCTCCCTGAGGGTAGGCAGGGCGCCTGTGGTCTTAGATGCTCACTCTGATGACTGATGGGAAAGCGCAGGCTAGACAGGTAGCACACAGTAGGTTATCATTTAATGGCGGCTAATGATAATTTATGAGGACCCCTGTTATTTAGAAGAAGTGTCTGTGGCCTGGCATATAGTAGGTGGTAGTCTGCACATAGTAGGTGGAGTCAGCAGTGAGGTGGGTGGTCCCACATAATAGTGGGGGGCCAGTGGGGCAGGAGGTCTGTACATAGTAGGGGGAGGGCCAGTGGTGTGGGTCATTGGGCTCATAGTAGGCTGTGGTCCGCTGGGTGAATGGTCTGCACATAGTAGGTTGCGTGAGCAGTGAGGTGGGTGAATGGTCTGCACATAG